CGTATGGAACTTCTTAAATCAACTTCGTGACCTGCACGCTCTCCAGGTAGGTCGCTGCAGAGACAAGATAGGTAAATGAGAATTCATTGATACTAGACTAACCCGTTGTGACTGCAGTGTCCCAACGCGTTCAAGAAGCACTTGCTTGTTTGCTACAAGTGCCCTAATATCTATACGAGGGAAGATCTCTATAGATAGAGTAATCGACGGTGCAACACACAATTCAATGTCAATATAGTCCTAGAACAAAAGAAGCAGCGACGCGATAAGAAGAACAACAAGGAAACATTAGTCTATCTTAATACAGATAAATTGGTAGGTAGGTCTGAAAAGCCCTGATCAGAAGTAATAAGAATAAACGAACTTGCAAGATCGATGCATGTGAACAAAGCAAAAGAGGTTCATGGTGTCCTTTTTTCAGTAATTAAACTTTTTTTTATAATACTAGTGATGGGACGAACATATCGTATGACGTGCTGTGTCATTCGAAGCATTCAATTAGAAGATCTGACGGGCACTGAAGGAACTCTACTGCTATTCAAATACCGACTTCTGCCGCCAAGTAGTAATATGAGAATTACTGTTTTCCGATTTTTAATGGTAAGTGTGCTGGTAAAACTATTACACGGCCCTTGTAAACTTTATATCTCATGGTGACGGACGCAGTGGCAGTGTCCCTCAAAACCTCAACTAATGCTTATTGTTTAGGACATTCGTCACGTCTCTTATTACCATATATAAAGAAAAAACTGAAAAATTAATAATTTTCCCATGAACTACCACTGAATAAGGGTTAAACCAAAAATTTAACTAAAACTAGTTACAACAGTCAGAGTAACCATATAAAGACATTGGTACCTAAAACTACAAGGTGACATCAATTACAAATTCTGGAAATTTTAAGATATGAATAGCCGGCAACAATGTTTTATTCACTATTAAAGCAAGTTAATTAAACTAAATTGCACCGTTTTTAGTTGGTAATACTGTACACGTACTTATTTATTATTACGTAGACTATTTCTGCTGTGGTATGAAATAAATATTTCGCAAACATGGTCAGAAATATTTTCAAAAAAAAGAAATTTGTCGATTAATGGACCATGCATGCAAACGTCAAAAAAGACAATTTGTTTTTAAATTCTCGCAATGCTTGTGTGCACTCGGCTGCATTTACCTTTAGTCTAGTTCACTGTTGGTAGATAGATTTAAAAGTGGATTTTTGGACTTCTGTTTGGCACCTACACCGGTAAATAATATGGTCTACAAACGACAAAATTTAGGTTCTTTTTTTTAAATAATGCAAATATTTTTGATGTACCTACATGCACTACACGATGGTAATGTTTTCGTAATATCATTTTTTATCAAACTTTACCCTCAGTAAAGATTAAAGACGTTTTTTCTTTAACCTAGCAAGATAGCTCTATAACAGAAGTTGGAATGCGCTGAATGGCGATATCAAATTAATATGAATGAGCGAGGGGTGTCATCGGTTGCAATGCGGACAAAAAAGTGACGGTGATGGATGGGCGCACGCCTTAACCACCTTGGTTTACTCCACTTTAAAAAGTTTACTCATACATGTAAAAATATTACAATCTCTTATGTATTAAGTATTTATAACTGTGTTATTGACTTTGACTGACTAAAATTTCATTATTATTTAATTTTTATGTAGAGTTTTAATGGCTGTGGCGTAGTGCCATACAGACTATTCTTCGTTTTCTTTTCTTCATTTTAGTTTCACTTTTTATTTACGTTTCAATCGTCATATGACATCAAAAGTGGAAATGATGTAATTGTAAATAACTTCATAACTTTTTACATTTTCTAGTACTTAGCATTGACAAGAGGTTCCCAAATTTTTTGGTCTCATGTCTAGGTCTATGGACCACGTGCCAATTTTTCTGTGTTGCGTAGGCTTAATAATGTGGATTATTTTTACAAATTCATCAACTTCAAACGTGTTTTTGACTGCTGACGTAGTGCTTTTCACTTTGATAAGTTTAACTGTATAGTGAGAAACTTTATAAAAAAACACATCGATGGCTTTCTGGAATAGTCTGGAATAGGCTATCTCAAAATTAATTTATCGAGAAGATGGTTTAGGAAATGTGTCTATTGCCGAAAAATGCTGACAAATACGCTGATAACAATGATATCTTAGAAGCTATATGTCAGAACACATTTCTTAATTCAAACACGTTAGAAGTTGACCTCTTCAAATCTGAATAATTTCTCATTACACTATTTGTTTAGAAACGACTTCACTACTCTGGCTCTGTACTGGCTGTACTCATAGATAGGTTGACAGACACATTTAAAACTGATGACAAATAATATTACTCACGGTATTTTTTCATTCAAATCCTTAATTTTTGAAATTTCCTTTCGTTGGATATAATTAGAAACGGGTTTATGCAAGAAACATTTAAAATGGCACCTATACAGAAAAAACTAAAGGTAAACCGATTACGTTGGTATGGCCACGTAATGCGTAGGAATGACAGCTATATGAGCAAAAGAATCTTTTCGCTAAAAACTGGAATCGCCAAAAGACGACCATAGAGGTGTAGGATTTTATGGTGTAAATCTCTACAGATAAGCATTCCGTTTTACGCATTAAGCTATTGGAATAATTTATTTTTATCCTTATTATTTCACTTTCTTTATACTTAATATACTGTATTTTTTATTTAAAATTACAACTTTATTTATTTAAATTACAAGTATATAGCATATCCTACAGGACATATTACGGAGAGTGTGCGAGGGAATTGCACGAGTAAATCTCGTCTTCCGCTTTTCATCATCGGGGGACTAGACGTAGGCTAGGGTTCCACCCCTATGTAGTGGACATCCCAAGGATACGCAAGAAGCGTTTCACTTCTACATTTATGTGGCGAACGGTTATGGAGTGGAATTCCCTACCTGCAGACATGTTTCCTGAAAGATATAACTTGGGCTTTTTCAAGGCGAGAGTGAATAGGCATTATTTAGGTGTGCGTGCTTCGTCACTTTCCATCAGGTGGTTTTCAGGTTTATTAATAAAAAAAGCACACTCCAGACTATTTGGATTGGAACCATGTAAAGAGTTATGAAGACGATGGGTCGACACCATGGGCTTACGTAAGACATAAGGCAAAGGAGAAGACATTTTGAACTTCGTCACTTTATGTGCGATATGTGCAACTATTTTGACTATCTCTATCAACATTAGTGAAATGGAAAGTTAGCATCGAAACTTTAATTCGTTTTACATACATTTTATATTTTCGACTGCGGGATGCGTCCGCGCAAACAGAACGCGACTAACTGCGAATTAACTCCGTAGAAAGTGAACACCTTTAATTGCTACTCTCTTCATTAATATTTATATTATTGTTACAAATTTTTTCAATTCCAAGGCAGGCGCAAAGTTGGCCAAGCGTAATTTCTGAATTAAACAAATTAAACATAAAAAACCCAAAAGCGAAATATTAAACATTGTACGTATGAAGAGCCGGCTTTATACGCATAAGAGTGCAAGCCAATTATTCGGTTTTTCTGAAGTTGCATGTGGGCAGCGCGCAGGACCCGCATTTTTTTTCCAGCACGCCACGCCAGATCTTAAGCAACTTTTGTAGCTGGTCATATGGGCTGCCGGCGGGCGAGACACCTTCAAGCTTTACTAGCAAACCGCACGTTACACCGTGATCCCACCGAAAACAGATGTATTTTTAAATGAAAACGTACTCGTTGCCACCATTTCGTAATCCCATTGGTTGACCATAGAAAACTCAACTAATCCTCTGTAATTACTCCATTGCATGTGAGTTACTTTATAGTTCGGATACCTCTTTCGCCAGCCAGTGATTGGAAGTGACCACTAGAGACGAAAACTTGATCAGTTGTTAGCAGAATATCCAAATAATTGGCTATGTTCACTGACATTCAATATCCGGGTAGAGCAACTTATATTGCCGGCCGGCTTGGATTCCTAATTGTGGTACGCCAACAGCCCACATGGCTTGCTGGTTAACATTCGAAGAAACATAGTGGCCTGCTGCACTTGAATTCTTGTGGGCGGTCGGCGGCGCATGTGGCGCTGAGAGTGTTAAATTTATCTCAGGGTGATGTAAAGCTATGAGTGGCACTGCAAGTATTATAGATAGGAGTCTTGTTAACCACCAGGCGTACGACTATTTAGTCACGTCACATCTATGTAAAGGAAATATTCAACTAATGTCTCAGGGTAGTGGGGTCAGTGGCTGTGGAAAATCAGTGGAAGATCTGAGGGGTCAGATCTTTGCGATTTAAAGCGGCAGCTGCTAAAAACAAGATGGCCACGATGTAGTCCAACCTACAATAGGAAAGGAACCCCAAAGATCATTTTACCGCGATGTAAATTTAGTAGGAGTAGTGCTCCTTGAGAAAGGAGCTAACCTATTTCTGTAAAAGCCGGTTTAGAAGGGTTAAGGGTGCTGGTGAAGTTACAAGCACATGGGACTTGTAAAAGTGGTACTGCAACTGTTATGGACCGACGTGTCGCTTACCACCAGACACGCGACTTATTCATTCCATCACTTGGTTTCAGAAACAAAAATATTATCAATTTAAACCATAGAGTTCGGATACATAAATTTCCATTCACTATACCATTCAGTATAATAATATTTTGTCTTAGATATTAACAATTTAAGAGAATTTTAACTTTGAGTTTGATAATCCAGTTTGTCATTCGTCTATTTCATAATCATATTAGATGTTAACAACAGCATTTACGAATATTTAGGATTTAAAACGGAATTAAATGAAAAGATATGGACAGAACTGACAAAGTTTCGCCAGAAGGCTCGTTTAATGCAAAAGCCCAAGTTCAATTTTGAAAATATGTTGAAAATACACAAGGATAAAGTCATGGATATACATTGTAACAGAAAAATGTAATGTAAGAGTAGGTACATTAGAGGATTGATGTACCTAAGCGACAAATGCATTATTAAAATTTCACTTACTTGTGCGGCCTTTCAATTCAGATGGTCTCAAAGCTGGTTCTTCAAGCACTGCCAGTGGAGGCGGCGCAGGAGGTGCAGGAGGTGGCGGTGGTGGTGGAGGAGCTTCGTCTCCCGAGCTGCCTCCGGAAGACACTCCTGAGGAATTGGATGCGGCGACGACTACTGGGTCTTCGGAGATGGACGCGCGACGGCTGCCTGCTGCTGACGACAGGCGGTTGGCCTAGGAAAGAAGATGGCCGGTAAATTACTAAAGAGCCAAAAAATCCATCCAATGCAGACCAAAGTCTCTTCAACAGAATGCCACAAATGGAATGATTACGGGCCTCGAGCGATCCATGCGAAAGTTACTGGAAATGTTTCATTTATTAGTCGGTTGTTATTCTTTATACTTAGACGATCGCGGCGTAAAGAAGATTTAAGTACAATTCATATGTCTTTATTGATGAAGCACACTTTGGTCCAGGAGACGCTGAAAAGTATAAAGGACCTAAAACAAGAAAATATTGATATTAAAGTCTACTCACGAAATTCTGGGCTTTATGTGTGAGCGCAGCCAGCTTGGTGGCGATTGTAGATTTCTCTTTTTCTTGCACTGGAGACACGTCTTCGTAGGTTTTGTTTGTGCTGTATGGAAAAAACAGGGTAGGTAGAAAAGAAGCAATAAATGATTTTATTAAGAGGATAGTCTATAGTGTACTCTAGCGTTGTTGTTCTGCCAACTTATCTACAGTAAAATCGCGTTAGCAGGTTGACGAAATTATTCCATGTATATGTTATAGATTTTTGTAGTAGGTTTTTTCAGCTTTCAAAGCCGTAAGCGACACCTTGTTAGAAACTAATGAACCATGTCACTCAGTCGGTACCTTTAGAGCTACCACAAGCTGACGTCGATGTCGCTTTATCAAATGTATCATTGATTTTTGTCATTTCACGATATTGACTCCTTTTATGCACCTCCGTGGAACGTTAATTGTTCAACCGGTGTTCAACCCGTGTAATTTTGTTACTATGTAATTTAAAGGAAAACTAACGAAGCCCCGCGCCAGACATCATTTCCAAGATGTGTATACAAAATTTCATTTAGTTTGATTAGGACAAAGTTGTGCTATCGCTAACTTAAACTCCGTATAGCAAAAAATACAGGTTAGTGTTGGGTCATGGAAAAAAATCCATTTCAAAAAAATATTTTTTCCGGATATTTTTCCAATATTTTTCCTTTAATCTTCCACATTTGACGTTGATACCTATCAGTGGCAAGGCGTGAAAATTGTCTTTAGTAAAACAAAAAAACAAGTGGCGCCTTGGCGACAATTAAACACAGCACTTATTAGCACACAAGATTCCAGTACACTTTATTTCACTCGTTAGTTATTCTACTCGTAAAATTGTGCACAAAATGTAGTAAGTTACTTTTAAATATTTATAATATTTGATGATACGTGGAAAACTTTAGGCAAGCCGGTGGGAATCGAGTTATATGGATGCCTCGCCACACTGATACCTATCAAAAGTTGAGTTACTGAACGAAAACGATGGAGCCATTAAAAAGGTTTATTTTCGCTGTTAAGAAATCATTTTAAATAAGTGTCTTTTAGCTATACAAGTTTATTTTATATTTCACGCTAAATAAAACTCAAAAGATATTTAACTAAACGTAAAACGTAATATGAGCCTTCGAAATTATATTTTTCTAATTATTCGGGATCTTTTCCGGATAAATTTCCAGTATTTCAATTTTTTTGGAAAATTACTGAACAGTATGTTTAGTCAACACTACGCTAGACTTCACTCTGTCACGGAACATTTTCGTTTGCTTCCGTGACTCGCTTCGCGCATACGCAAGTTCTGCGCGTATGCGCAGGTAGGACTGTTCACGAGTCACTCGTTTGCGCCGGCCGCTTGCTTTTCATTGGATTTCTTTGCGTTGCGTGAGTTTGATATCTAGCAAGCTTGACATTTTCACGCAAGCAACAAGGAACGTTCGCGGAGGACAGCACCACTGGCCAATCACAGAGCAGCAGCTGGTTCGAGAGTGTCGACAACCCAATCAAAGGCAAGCCTCCGCGCATCCGCGCAAGTATTTCCGCGCAATGCAAAGCGGAAGACTCGTGAAATTAATAGTTTAACGAAAAACTGACAAACTGCTATCTTCCATGCAAAACCTTATTAGCTTCAAGATCGTGTCTACTCTACGTCATTGAATTTATTTACTGTACTTCCAAAACAAGATAAAATCGTTTATATCGAGACCTTGCAAAACCGTCCTCGTAACGAAAGATAATTGGAAAAATTAAAATTTTCCCTTGATTGAAATGTATGATGTAATGTTAAAAGATTGTGTTAAATAGGTAAGCAGTGCTTTTTAGATTCAGAATCTAACTTTGAATAAGTATAACTTATCGAGTTCTTAGGTTTTCGTGATTGTTACACATAGGAAATGAAACTATTTTTCCGGTTTTAAATCGCATATATTTGTTTTTTAAACAAACCGACGTTTCGGGCCTTTTACAGGTCAGGTCTCCTGTAAAGGGCATGTAACAAATATACGCGATTTAAATCCGGCAAAATAGTTTCATTTCCTATAAGTATAACTTTTTGTTCGCTATAAAGTATTATAAATAATACTTAATAAAGTAGACCTACTTAGAAATTGCCGGTGACGCAGATAGCTTTAGTACATACAGCTTTTCCAAAATGTAAAAAAATTAGAATCCAGCGCAATTACTGAAGAAGAAATTCCTTTAAAGCAGTATCCAGCAGCCAATTGAAAATAACTACTAATAGGTAGCAATCTAACAGTTGGAAAGTGAAAATTTGTTGCTAAAACAAACAAGCGGGATGTTCGAGAGACTTCTAGAAGGTTTCAGATTGTTCTATTGACTTACTTGTCGGCATTGTCTTTGGTGGTGTAATCGACAACTAGCGCCGCGCTACCTGGACGGCTGTGGCTGCCTGAATCTCGGGAACTACTCCTGGTTTAAACATGTGTTTATGGAGTCTATGGATTTTATAGAATTTGTATGAAATGGTATCATATTCAACTAAACAGTACCTAATGAACACGTGTTTTTTTTCCGTTTCGTCTTTTATCACTAGTTATTTATCACGCTTTAAGACCATCGAGGTGTTACTTAATAATTGCAAAGTACCTTCGTCTCTGGCGCTCCTCCCTCGGGATATAAATATCCTCATAGTGGTGATCGCGCCTCGTGGCTTCGGCGCCACTGTCGCTGTCCGAATGCTCCTGCGCAGTCGCTTCTGTCGATCCGTGAACCTCGGCTTTCACTGCATAACAAAGAGCACCAACTCAACATCTATCGACCTTCATGAAGAATGAGTTTTGACCGAATGTACCGACGTTTCCCAAGCCGGCTACCGGACACCCACGTTGCGTCACACGTCGCAAACAATACGTGTAAATAATAATTAGTGTTTTATTATATTATGATGTACGTTAGTCTATCAGGTATGTATTTATGGGTCTTTGTAACCAGAATATAAATAAATCAATGAAAAAAAATATTAAGATTATTTTAGTTTCAGTTATAATTTTGTATCTACGGGCAGTCAATTAGAAATTTAATGTAAAGACGTGGATTTGGGGGATCATTTTCAAATATCATACAGTGTTAAAATAGTTGAGCGGAAGTAAAGATAAAGACAAAGATAAATTTATTTCAATATAACTTAATCTAATACAATAAACGTAAAACAAATGTAAATAAAGCTATTATAGTATTCAAATAAGCATTAAGATGGGAAACTGCCTTCGTGGCCGAACGGTTACCATGCCGGACTGCCACGCAGAGGTCCCAGGTTCGATTCCCGGGCCGGGAGAAATAGTTGTATGGCCTACAATTATTTCTCTCGTGAGTTTGGGTGTTATTTGTGGTTGTCTATGTGTGTGTCCATGGCACCCGCGACACAGGGTTTCCCTAGTGCGGGGCTATGTTGAGTGTGTGCGTTATTTATTAAAAAAAAATCTAAATTATACATTCTTCATAGTCAAGGTATATTTTAATTTTAGAACCTAATGTGTAATTGCGATGCCTAAACTAAGTAAGTGCGTGGCTATTGTAGACCCAAAATCAAAGCTAATGACCCTCATTCTTATTTTGTTCTCACAAACTTTACAAGTACAATTCTTTGCATGCCGCGTTTTACAATGTGGCTTTACAACTTGACTTGTGTGTCGATATAGGCAGGATTTTGTACGTTTGGTATGTTAAGATTAGTTACTTGTCCGTGGCTAGCTATCAAGCTACTATTCAACCGCCATTGCATTTTTTGGAATTCTGTCGATGATGTAGTCTTCTAATTATTTCACATTTCTTTCGATTCGTTTTTATTTACAATTTCATTATTTATATCGATTATTGAGTTTTATTTCATAAAAAAATGCAATTGTAGAATTAATTTGAAGCCTAAATGACTAATTAAAGAATAAAAATTAAGATAATAATAATAATAAAAACTTTATTCATTTTCAACATACATAGTACAATGTTAAGGTTGGAGCCCTCTAGTAAGTAAAAATACTTGTGTCAGAGGACTCCGCTCTTCCATAACTAGAAATTCAGTTACATTATTTTTACACTCCAATACTAATTACAAGATTACAAGAGACTTAAAATATTTGAAAGAATTTATGTAAAGTGTATGTTTGTGTTTGTGTGTGTGAGTGTGTGTGTGAGTGCGTGTGTGTGTGTGTGTGCATATGTGTGTGTGTGTGCGTGTGGGTGGATGGGTATTTTTTTTATTGAGTGTTCCTTACGTAAGATACTTTAACAGCGCTTCTGTGTCTTCATAACTCATCGTTTTAAGATAATCAATAAGACTATGTTTGCTATTGTTATATGAGGATTGAGGATATATATTTATTTTTTTGTTGAGACGATTAAATACATGGGTGGCGTGTTTTTCGACCTGCCTGCTAGCGAAGGTACTATTTGTCCAATGAGACACTGTAACATTTCTGCTATTGTTTCGGGAATTTGCAATTAATGGTAACCGTTTGTGGAACCTTAAAACTGCGTGAAGAATGTAAACTTTTCTTACGGAGAGTACATCACTAATAATAAGATAAAGAATAAGTATAATAAGAATAATAAGATATGCATATTTAGTAAGGTAATATCGTTTAGTAAGGTAACATCGATCGTTATTAGTGATTGAATGAATGAATGCCATTACTGCCATTTCACTAACATTCTATTGAGACTCAACTGCCATTCAAACTAGATTTTTTCGAACAACATAATTATCGAGTTCTTAGGTTTTCGCGAATGTTATAAATAGGAAATGAAACTATTTTTCCGGATTTAAATCGCGTATATTTGTTTTATCAAACAAACCGACGTTGCGGGCCCTTTACGTATCACATGGTCACGGTTGATTCTCTCTCGAGGCACGTCGAACGTCATCGGTTTGTTTGACAAAACAAATATACGGTTTCAAGAAAGTTGTCAGATCTTCATTGAGACAAGTAAAATTTAAGTTTAAAAACTCACCAGTCATAGTAGGAGCCTCCTGACCCTCAGCAGGTACTCGAGGTCCTGGAGAGCGGGTGTGGAAAAGGTCCCTGACGCGTTGGTACAGCGCTGCTGGAGCACCAGTGTTGGCATTGCTGTTCCCGTGCAGGAACCAACCGCTTGTATTGCCTGTATCAGCATCAGAAGCTGAGCATGCTGCAACAAAGAATATTATAATTTAGACAAAAAGGAAAACCGTAAGATTTGCTGACTCTGTCTGTGACTCAGTTGGTAAGAACGGTGGCCCCGGTGTGGCAACAGACGCTGGTTCACGTTCAGTCAAATCGAAGGATATGCGAACTTATTAATTCCGTAAAATTCCGCAAGATTTTCCTGTTAAATTTGACGACCTCGGCGGGCAAACAAATGTGCGCTGGATGAAGAGTTCCCTGGCTCGATAGCAAGCAGAACTAACTTGGTAAACGAACTTTGCTCAATCGGTATCGGTGATGATACACCCACATTTATTCTCACAACACGTACCTAAGTACGAAAAGCTGTTAAAATTAAAATACATCGCAATTTCAACCGAGAAGATGGTTTTAAGCGTGAAAGACACAGAAAGCGGGTGCGGGTCGGGACCGCGGCGGGTCTAATTTCGGGACAGGCGTAGGCGCCCGCGCTCTATGTGTTGACGTCCATATAAATACACGGAATTACACTCGCCGCGGCTCCGATCCGACTCTCGTCTGACGTCTTTAGTTGCAGTCATCAGCAAATGTAAGCGACATCAAATATCGCCCGACCGGCTTTATCGTGAATGTTGTGGGTCGACTTAGTGAAAACCATAGAGGAAAAATAAGCTATGAAAACCAAGTGCAAGATGTTGACGCCCGCCTGTTCAGTTGCTTCGAGACCATTGACGTTGCAACACGTCCGAAAGGTTGAGGCAAATAAAATATATTTATACGCTATTAAGTCCAGATTTTTTAAATCAAATATTTTCATTATGTTAGCGTTACGTTCAATTTATCTTAAAAAATACTGTTTGATATTGTTTTATGTAATTTTTGTATGTTATATGCCTGTGTTATAATACTTATAATTAATGTTTAAGAGTAATTCTTACAAAATCTCGAAATTCTTGTCCTTTAGAGTTCTTAGGTTTTCGCGATTGTTACACATAGGAATATAAGCTATTTTTCCGGATTTAAATCGCGTATATTTGTTTTTCTCAAACAAACCAACGTTTCGGGTTCTTTACAGGTCTCATAGTCACGGCTGACTGAGGTGGTACAGTCATCAACCAGTTATGTCTAATATTGATGCACCCTATTTTTTCAATATAGTTACAAAAGTTATTAATTAAATACCTTGTTTTTAATTTTACAAATAAACATTCCAATTTACGCTACATTGTTAACCGAATTCAAAAAAGGAGGAAGTTCTCAATTCGACTGTATGTTTTTTTATGTATGTTACGCGATAACTCCGGTATTTGTGGACCGATTTTCATGATGCTTTTTTGTTGGAAAGATAATACCTCCATAGAGTGATCCCATTTAATTTTGAAGAAAATCATCCACCTCTAACGGTGGCTGTTCACGCATGAAGATTCATTTTTATAAATAGCGCCTAAATTTTATTATAAGGAACAATCATTTTAATTATTAATTTTGCTATTCTCCAATTCAAGGCGTTTTCGCTCAATATACTTTGAGTAATGAGAACCGATTTTTATTATCTCCTGTGTCAGGTTCCGTATAGTGGTGAACTAGGGGATGAATCCGGGTTTGCGCACTTTCCTGTAACCGATTTCAATAAAACTTGGTACCTAATTATATATACTTCCACGTACTTTGGAGGTCGGTTTTTTTTAGTACTCTGTACTGAGATTAGGTTATTTTACGAATTATATTATTGTAACAATATAAATTTTTATTAAGTTAAGTTTATTATTAATTGTAATGGAAATTAGAATAAATTAAAACATATTAATTAGTACTGCAGTTTTATGCCTTTTTCGAATTTTTCATCAGAGGAAATACTGGATCCCAAATTGGTGGAATGGAGAAATCTTCCCTGTTGAAATTAGGCTGCTTTTTAATTTCAATCGCCTCTCGCAGCATCCTGGGTAGATACCGTACTTCTTTTGCAAGGACCTGGAGTTTGTCAAACTTCATTGAATGTGTAGGTTTATCCATGATATGCTCGCAGACTACAGACTTGTTTACGCGACGGTGTTTGACATCAGCTATATGTTCTTTAACGCGGGTACAAATACCTTACTTCATTGGTCCAATATAAGAGCCTCACTGCCTCGCCTCACTGCTCTGCAGACTGTGGGTTAGTTCCAATTCCATCCTAAGGGTAATAGCAGGGCGACATGATTACCCGATCATAGCATATTTTTTATTTTTTTTTATTTTTTTTTTATTTTTTTTTTTTTATTTATTTATATTCAGGTTACTGACACCCATAGATACATACCTTACAGACTAACATACATAACAATATAAAATAACACTAATTACTAATTTAACACGTATTTAGGTTGTCGGCGACGTGTGGCGCCATCTGGTGTCAGGCAACCGGCCACGGAATCGCCGGTATAGGACACCCTTCGGCCAGAACTCCTCCTTCATGAAGGTCGACAGATGTTCGGTCGGCACTCTCACCACAAACGAATTAAAGTTCACGTAGTGGCGGGACTCCAACCGCTCGACCCTCAGGGTGTATTTGGATTTCAACCTGATGTACTCCACTATCTCCTCAGACTTCGTGGAGTAATGCAGGCGTGACAGGTACAGCAGCGTTGTCGGGATTGCCGGACGCAGCAAAAAGTTGGATCCTGTCGGTGCAGTGCCGCACAGGTTACGGCTGGTGGGCTTCCTCTTCTTCTTCTCCACCTTTGTGAAGCCGTCATCGTCGCACCGGTCCGTCTGCCTCTGTGGTTTTGCAACTTCAGAGACAGATACACGAGGTTTTTTCATCCCCTTCGTTGATAGCTGCCTGGCTTGTGGTTGTGGAGCAACGGGTCGGTTAACAGCTGCGACAGCGGCGTAATCACGTGGAGGGGTCAACGTGTTTACGCGTGACGTCTCCGCCGGAGCGGACAATCGAGGGGCGGGGCGCGGGGAAACGCGCTCAGCGACAGCGGTCGGTGACGCATCCGTATGGGCCGACTCAAAACTGCCGATAGATGCATTATGTGCCCCGCGACGAGTATTCACGTTACAGGCCTCGGGTGACCTACTTACCGAAGTTGCACTACTCAGTAATACAACCTGGGCACGTAACTCACAGATGGTGTTATCCGAAGCCTCCAATTTACATTGAACTTCGGCCAGACTTGCTTTCAGGGATGTGATGTCCTTAAGCAGCCTAGTGACATCGACATGGTCGAACGTGACAGGGGGCAGCTTGTGCAGCTCCTTTGCCACGAAAGCAGGCACGTCGTCTGGGTCGGTTTCCTTTAACATCGTTATAATGTCCTGGATACTCTTCGTTCCTCCATCCCTCCGGCGAGATGGCATCTGCTCGGCCTTGCCAAGCACACGGAAAAGCAGCGCCTTGCCACTGCAAATCTCATCTTCTTTAAAGTTTGATTTGCAGATCTGCATGATGCTGACCTCGTCCATAGTGTCGATGGCGTGTTGTATGAACGCCAGCAGTTCATTGGCTATGAGTTGTTGGGAACCCATAGTCAATTACGCGCAGCGGTCATTACCGCGCGGATCGCGAATTAATATAATTCTTACTGTGTGAGCACGTCCGAATCTGAGCGTGCATCGCACCGGACTGCTATATATTGTGTAGACAGATGCATCTCGCACACAAAACTAGTGACTAAGTAAGTAGTAGTAATTGTAATGCTATGGATTTCCCTACGACATGTAATTTTTAAATTTATAATTGTTATTTTATTAATTGTAAATTTTCTACTGAATTATGATTATTTCAATGAAATTTATATTATGTATTTTGATATTTTGACATCTCGATTTTGAAAATTTTAATGTACACTTCATATACAATACACCATAAATTCACCACACAGTCAGTTGTTACTATAGTAGTATAAGGTTGCTTACTAACAAACTATGGACCTGTGGTGTCTGAAAATAAATTTAAAATAATAGATTTTTATTTTTATTTTGTTATTTATTATTTTTTAATTGGATAAGTGTTGTACTTTCTTAAAGAAAATAATAGTAATAATAATATTATTGTTTTTTTAAGCTACCGACGAAAATATTCACTATTCATAAGTAAGAATCGCAAACAAATAGCATTTGTATAACACTGTACATTCCACAAGTTACAGAATAGCAGCTAGTTTCGTAAACTCAATGTTACGGTAACATTAAGGAAGCAAAGGTAGCCATGTTTTAATTAACGCTTGCCTCGCTAGATCAAGTGAAAGAACTTTCCAAATCAATTAGCAGTAATTGAAAACATGCCGCTACTGGCTATACAATTGTGTAGGATGTTTCCAAAGTAATTACGATGTAAGAGCTTAACTATTAACATCTCTATGTGTCAACATAAAATTGAAAGTTACGACGTTACATTATCACTTTGATTAGATTTAATACGATAACTAAACATAGATTTTATTTATGGCCGAACGGTTATCATTCCCGGGCCGGGAGAAATATTTGTATGGTCTACATTTATTTCTCTCGTGAGTTTCAGTGTAATTTCTGCCGTCCGCTAACTGCGATAACGAATAACTGAGATAAAAAAACCATAACCCAATTTTAGCATAATTTATGTACAGAAGGAGTTACCGAGAAGAATAATGGTTACTTATAAATTGAGAGATTAAGGATTTGAATCCCTGAGGCGCCTTTTTAGTAGCATTAAACCTCCTTGTGAAAGAGTCCGTCCAGGGAAGTACTGACACGGCTGCGTTTCACTTTTAAATGGTAATTGTGCTCTGCCGTCCGCTAACTAACAAATGTTTTTTGACATATCATTAAAAACCATAACCCACTTTTGGAATATTGAAATTGTTTAATAATATTTCAGCTATGCGTCGTTAGGGTAAGTTCCGATAATTCGAACACGTTAACTAATTTTTACAAGAGAACTTTGTGCTCTATTATTTGCTATTTAAAACGAATGTTTCACTATTTGTCACTTAGCCACGTTTTACTTAATGGACAACAGATTTGTCGTTTTCAATATGTGTGTCCATGGCACCCGACTAACTAGGGATACCGGCATGATGGTATCCCTAGTGCGTGGTTATGAGTATGTTATTTTGTTTTTTTTTTCCATTTTTTATCTCTATTATTATAAGTTACACAGCTTCATGACATAAATGGGCGATAGTTACTCGTTTACCTATTTCAGGCTGTTAATGATTATCTAAAATATATCCGCTCACGCGATGCGCTCATCCTACCGCAAAATGGCGGCTATTTGGTTTCGCAAATTAGAAAAGGATTCAGTTTAAATACAAGCATTGCTAAATAAATACCCTCCGTACTACAACAAAAACATCTCAAATAAAATGCAGTAATACACCGCAAATCCTGCACTTAAAAAGCACTAATGAAATTTTTGGTGTACTTGGGTAAATATGATAATATTCCGTTTGAGTGGTTCTAATGTTTACCATTACATACCATTTTATATTCAGGGTAAACTTAAAAAACGCAACTTACGGTATGTTTTCAATAAATAAACACCGACATCACCAGCCCAAACAATAACACACACGATTGTCGTGACGTATTTTTGAAGTTGTTTATTTTTTTAAATGACAGACCCAGGCATTAAAAACTTTATGGTTTGCTAGAGTAGTTACCGAAATAGCAATTAGTATTAGTTCTTTTACCTGCTATAACTTCGATATCCAATAAATCGGTATAAAATCATCACCGGCACCTCTAGGTGTGGTATGCGTCTACGGCTGCATGTATCGCGTGAGCGGATAAATTGTAAATGATAAAATGTTTGTTTACAACGAGCAACTCCGTGAGTTTCTCACTATTTCTTCTCAGGGGAATCTGCCTTACGATTGGGCAGCCGAGTTTAATCAATGTGATTATTTAAAATGTAATTTGCTTACCTAAGAAATAAAGATATATTTGAATGTGAATTATGGAATTTCATTATAAATCGGATATTCATTTTTTTTAATTAGAATTTGTAACTGTTTTATATTTACATGAAACTAAAAAATGAATAATAAAAAATAAAAAAACGTAAACAATTATTCCTCTCTAATAAAACTCCTTACATTAATACACTATGTTCGTCACAATGGACATCGAACACTGCACATACCATAGGTATCAGAGTCGAAGCAATCGTCACTGAACCAAATGTCTTCGTGAAATAAGTTAACGACACTCATCTCGCAAAGAGAGGTATCATTAACACACGTCCACCCAGCTTGGCGGTTGAAAAGAGACTGATTAAATTGTTCAATGGGATGCTACATTGCGCCGGATTAGGTAAATGCTACGCGGGCGCTTCCTGAATAACTTCCTACCTATCGCATTTGCCCTATTAGATGCGCCCGCGGTTCACTGATTACACGGTTACATACAACGAGTGTCCTGTATATAATTATATTTATATCGAGTTCTTATATCAGCAAAATGACAACATTTCAGAAAAAAAGTTTAAAGATTCTACACGAAAATATTCGATAACTTTTAACACCGATTCGGCCTGCCAAACCTTCTTCCGCTTAGTTCTAGCGACTTGAAACTAGAACAACCTAGTAATCTAATGTTTCAAGTGATACATGAAAGATCCACGAGACAACATGATACTTTAATATTAACAATAATCTGTTGTGACATTATCATCAGTGATCAGCGTCCTGATATAAAACGGAATCGATCCGATTAGGTAGTCTCGAAATCAGATCAGTTTCTGAGCGAGAAGATGAACCTGATTCCTACTATATGTTTCTAATTTGTGAGTTAAATCAACTATTGTTCCGATAAGAAATGTCAAAAGTTTCCGATCGGCCAGTTGTAAATCGCAATTATGCTCCTCGACTCGGAAAAGACGCAGTTTCCGATCGGGAGAGGCAGTCAAAATCAAGCTGCACAATAGGTACACTTTTTTACCTAAACTTCGAGGAACAGAGACAGAAAGTAGAGAAAGAAATGTATAAGAATACTTGCTAATTTAGACTCACAAACCTCTTGTAAGTCGTTCTTTATTAAACACAAAATTTTGACACTAACCTCAATTTATATATAAATTTGTAAAGAAATACAATCATCTTTTCTCACCTGTAAAGACTCTGAAACGTAACAATAGAAGTTTACACATGTTGAAGCGTCCTTTCAGTAGTCTAGGTATATACCATTCAGTAAGGTAATTAAAATATACAATGCGATCCCAACAAATATAAAAACCCATCTAAAGAGCTATCTACAGAGCAAAGCTTTTTATTCACTTAAAGAATACTTTTTAGAAAATAGTGCTTGAAAACGAATTACCAAGTTTATAATTTGTAAAGTATGTCAAATAGAGAGACATAAGTGTATCAGGAACGAGACCTAAATGTAAAAGGAATTAATAATATTTTATGTTGATACTGCATAAAATTCTGTTTAGTTTTTTTGTTATTAATCATTCTTAATTTTATTCAAATAATGTACAATTTCCTTAGTGAATTGTTTTTAATTTTATTTTAATAATGTATATGTTTTAGTAAAGTACGGATATAGTACCCCCAGAATGTTGCAATGCCCCCACGGGGTGTTACATGTCAAGTACCATTAGCATAATAACACCTATTATATAACCATGTAACTTGCAAATAAAGAATATGAATATGAATATGAAAGTGGAAATTGCCTTGCAATTGAATTTTTTCGTCCCGGATTTTATCAGGATTCGGGAAATCACTTTAGTAGATTAAAAATTTACGTTATTTGGGATAGGTAGTAGGTAGATTATATTTATGTAAACTTTGCGACGAGTTGCTGCAACACCAGCAGTAGTAGCAGTAGAGCTCCTTGTCAAAGAGTTCGTCCAGGAAAGTACTGCCACCTTATATAATAATTCTGCCGCCAAGCAGTAATGTCAGCATTACTGTGTTCCGGTTTTGAAGGATAAGGGTGCTGGCGAAATTACAGGCACATGGGACTTGTCAACTTATGTCTCAAGGTGACGGACGCAGTGGTAGTTACCCGTTACTTGATTTAACACTATTTAGGAAAATTCCGACAAAAAAATCAAAATTGTTATGATGATGATAACTTTACCTACCTATCCCAAATAATGTCAATTATTAATGTGCCTAAGTGATTTCCCGAATCTCGAAAAAATCCGGGACAAACAAATGTAGTCGTAAGGCAGTCTCCGCTTTCTGTCTCTGTTTATCGAAGTTTAGGTATAAATAAATTCTACCTATTCTGATCACTGATTTATCATACACAAAAGAGAAAGAGAGAAATCACACTTTTGGTGCCACATCAGCAAAATGACAACTTTTCAGGATGGCTCCTGAAAAATTGCCATTAATCAAGTTCGTAGAATAGAAAGCAATTTGTCGAAAACTTTTGTATGCTTCGATAGGACAGTTGTAAAATACACACACACACACACACACACACACAACTTCTCAGACCGCATGCAATCAAAACACACACACACACACCTTCTCATACCACATACAATAAAAACACAAACACGCTCCATTTTATATTGCTTTTAATTTACTATTATTTAACTCACAGTGTTCATCTTTTTATTATTATTAAGTCCAGCTGTGGAAGCGAGGATCTGGTGATTCGTCATACACGGAATCCTATTACGAACTCCAGACTCTCATAAAGGTTCCTAAATGTTTTTTTTTTCAAATTGGTCCCATAGTGCAAACCGTTGGGGCACTGAGAGTCTCGAACTCGTATAGAAAAGTCATGCCAGACCTTACAGAATTAACGAGTTCACACATTGCGCTGGTCCACTAATACGACATGAGTTGCAAAATAATATCATTATTGGTACCGTAGTCGAATACAGGACTTCCACATCTAGTGTCCATAATACTAACTGCTAGACTACCGCAATTGTCAAATTGTTAAACTCTTCGTAGAACTATGCGTTCGAAAGTTATAAATGAAATTTTGGTACTAACCCGAGTCTTCTCCCGAAGAACTGTGATGTGTGACACTAGTAGAGGTGCCTCTTTGCATCGGATTGACATAAAGTCCATCAGCTGGACCGGATCTGGCTGAACTGATGGAACCAATGGTGGAAGGGAGAGATCCCCGACGTTCCTGTATTGAGGCACGACGCTCCCGGTCTGGCGCGTGAAGGTAGAAGGGAGAACGAGCGCTATTTGCATTAATGCAATTCGGTAGAGCACACTGGAAAAAAGATTGGTCGAAATTAATATAAACACTAAAATAACAATTTAAAATCGCCAGGGCGCGTACTATAACCTTTCCAAAAACAATCTTATTTCAATGTAAGCTTAAACTAAGCTTATTATAATATTACTCATATTCGTACCATGACGAAACTGTCAACCAAGTAATGTATTATTGCAAAAGTGATTGAAGGAACCAATGATTTCCCAATATTGTCTATTTTTTACTAAAAATAGGAAAGAGATAACGCTAAGTGAACTATATAATGCCATCTCTTTATTTTTTGATGTTCCGAATCGTCTTATCGTAGTATAATGTTTAAGTACTTGATGTTATTTACATTCAGAGAATTTTGACTGTTAAAAAAAGAAAAGTATGTAATAATAAAATCTATTAAAATTATGTTGTTTTCAATAATTATTCCGCATTTTCATGAAGAAAAATACGAATAATACAATAAGAAAAATAGACGCTGTGAATTCGGAACTATATCTAGTGTCGACTGTTAGTTTCGCCAAGAAGCATATAGATGGCGCTGTCATAATTTTACGAAATAAACATCGCCTATTTTTATTTAACGAGAAATTATTTCCTATGTGCTATTAAATAAAAAAATTATAAAATATTGAAGAGGTATATGTAATAATAAATACGTTCAACTTAACTTTTAATCATTACAAATCAATATTAAGACAATAAAACTGAAAATAATATTGTTTCCATTGCATCCGTGTAACTATTTTAAGATTGCTAAATTTGACATAAGAGCAATATTACTTCAATGTTAAAGTCGCGTCATAGTACGAACTGAATGAATGAATAGTCACGAAGCTGCCAATAAGACATCAAAGTTTTAACATTATAATAAGCTTACTTTAAGCGCGTTATGGTACGAAAAGTCAACGTAAGGTAAAAGTAATATTGTTTTAAGAGGTTGTGGTAGACCCCCAGGTATGGTATGTTGAAGACGCTCTGGTTCGAATCCAGCGATCGAAGGAATTTTTCCTAGTGTTCGATCTTACTATTAATAATTACAACAAACTAGTAGAGTAATTTCACAAAAAAATTTAATATTGCAATCATTACAGCGCCATCTCTAGTCAGTCACTGGTAGCTGAAAAAGTACCTTGCTGAGTGAAGAAAACCTTTCATAGATGGAGCTACAGCAAAAAAGTCGTCTAAAACCAAAAATAAAGATCTGCAACTAACATACAGAAAAATTCGTAAGGTCTGTTGGTTCATTCCATAGTGGTTCCGTAGCTCTTCCTTATATTCTATAATTATTAATACAAAGACAGAACTCTAAGAAAAATTCCTTCCCAAAAGTCAATGTAGTTACCATCTGTAATCTAACAACTCGAGACCAATTTAATAAGCTCAAACACGATAATTCTACTGTAAGTAACTGAGGAGTTGAGTACTCTGCAGACTGTCCTCGTTGCAGCATTAAATCAAGGTTATCATATTATTGATATGTGGAGCCGAGACGTGGACTCCATCAGTTAAATGTCGCCCAGGTAGCTACGGAACGAGCTATGCTTGGAGTTTTTCTGAAGGACATGGTACGGAACGTGGTTATCCGACATAGAACCAAGGTCTTCGACATTGCTGGTAAAATAAGCAAGCTCAAGTGGCAGTGGGATGGCCATGTCTGTCGAAGAATCGACAACCGATGGGGGAAACGAGGTCTTGAGTGGAGACCACGGCTCGACTTGGTGTAGGACGTCCTTTGACCAGATAGAGTGACGATTTGCGAAAGGCTGCTGGCATCAGATGGATGCGACGAGCTGAGGACCGGGTTTAAATGGCGCGCATTGGGAGAGGCCTATGTCCAGCAGTGGACTGCGATAGGCTATTGAGATCAACCCATCTGTTTGGGAGCTAGATACCATGCGCTGTGGCAAATACACAGGACAAAGGCTTCAAATGTATAACTCCCCACTTAAGGAGGAAGAAGAAGTATAAAATTATAACTTTTTTATTAAAAAAGCCTACCTCAGAAGTTTGCTTGTCGGCTTGTTTTATTGGAATTACCATTTAAACCATTTATTTCCACACACATTAATTACATAACAAAACTAAGCTTAAAAGATTACTTATAAATGCAGGAATAAATTAAATTAATACATACATTAAATGATTTGTGTGTGGGGGACTCAGCATTTATTGAGCGACAGAAATCACATTTGTAATAGCGCTTGTTTCGCAAAATTAGTACTTGGTAACATTATAAAGCTAAATCTGACCAATTAATAGATAGTTCTAAAAAATTATCTCTATTTAAACATCATTATACGTTTTACTCCGCTCTAACTGCATTTCTATTTGATCATCTTCTGTATGAATTTATCTGTCCATGTATATAGTATATTATTATGTGCACCGTAATTCTAAACCAATCTATCACAGTAAAAAATAGTGTATCTTATTTAATTATCTATTTGTTTAATTATCTATTGCCACAAAACAAGGCTAGTCCAGGAGTGTCCATTTCTGCTCGGTCAACAAATTTTTGTTCATATGTTGTATAACAGCGTATAAAGAAACTCTCTTATGTAACGGCGGTGGTAAGTTATTCAAAATTTTCGATGCAGCTTATTTGAAACAGCCCCTGAACCCCATTGTTCTATGTTTAGGAACTACTAGAAGATTTGCTGCTCTCCTACGTGTATGCCTAAATCTATTTGCCAAGTTTTATAGATATCGGTTAACAGAAAATGCGCGAAACCGGATTCGTCCTCTAGATTGCCACCCTTAGAGGTGGAATAATTTGTTTAAATTTGATTGAGACCACTACTGAGGTACCCCCTTTCCAGACCCAAGGAATCATCGAAATCGGTTCTCAAATGTCGGTACACACAAAAAATACAGTCTAATTGACAACCACCAAATTTTTTTTTAAGCGATATTTGTGAACCGATTTTAATGTTTCTTTTTTTTATGGAAAGAGGGTACCTCAGATGTTATCCCATTTAAATTTGAAAAAAATATTCCACCTCTAAGGATGGCAAACTAAGGAACGAATGACTTTTGAGGTCGGTTTTTTATACAAGGAAACAATCCTAATTTGCTTGTACTTCTTTGGCCTAATGTTGACTGTAATTTGACACTGTAAAAGATGAAGTTCTACCTGAAGTTCGAGGGTTATCCTTGAAAGTAATACTTACTCTAGCTTCCCCGGGAGTACACGCGCAGGCGTGGACAGCTTTATACGACGCTAGTTGCTTGTCTGCCCCAGCTGCACCAGCAGCTACTAGCACGTTCAGGCACTGCAGAAAAAAAGACGAATGTTTGATTAAATGGAACATAATCTTTAAAAAACGGAATCAGTCTATTAAAATTCGTCTATCGTTGTTGCTTGGTGTCTTCTAAATTATTTTATCATATCGTCCAGACGTACCTTACAATTTAGATTGAAATAAAATATTTACATAATTCATTTTCGTCACAATCGTAACTTAGGCAAATGACGACGAACTTACTCAAGTTAAGTGGCAAATTGTAAGTAGAAATACATTGCCTGGTAAGTTTCACTACTTCAAAGACGGTGCAACAACTCATCAATCGCATCACGGAAAGTGCTTAACGAGTTTACCGGCCATTACGTGCGGCTCGAAGTGTCCATTTCAGTATGAATAGATTTAATTATTTATTTACATATATTTCTATTAGGAACTTCTTGTTCTGTATTATGACACAAATTAAGAATTTTCGTCGTAATTATAAGTCCATTAGTTATAAGTTAATAAGTGAAAATATGTAAATCACAATGTTCTTACGAAATCAAAACAGCCCTAAGACACCTATTATACTTAGGGAAGATATAGCCACAGTCACAAGATATGTACACAGTCACTCAATCGCGCGTGATCAGGAGTGCGCGATTACCTGTTTGAGATTTTTTAAGCTAACGTTCTTTCTTTCGCTTACAACGGATAGAGCGTCTGTATAAAGGATAATAATGCAGGATAGACCGCGTGAACTGGCGCGTGTAGGAGTGCGCGAATGTGTGCGCGACTGAAGAGCGCCATCACGCGGTCTTTCTCTTTTCCTTCCAACGTCTTTACACGCGCACTCAATCGCCCACGATTGCCGTATCACGCGCGATGGAGTGTCTCTATAAAGCCCGCTAATGTAATACTGTGCTAATAGCAACCAGTATGGAGAAAACTGTATTTCAACAACCAATAACATTATGACATTTTGATTAAATAGAGGCAGCCTAAACATATCAATATACCGAAGTGTAGTAGTCATAAAACGTAATAAAACAAGTGGAGTTCTTAGGTTTTCGCACATAGGAAATGAAACTATTTTTTTTTGGAGCTTTACCAGGTCCCATGGTCACGGTTGACTAATAATGAAACATATATTTGGTGTATAATTAGCCTAAGGAGCTATGATCATTGTAATATGGTACACATTTCAATGATTTGTGGAATTGAAGAGCGCGGCAAAGGATACTTCTTCATACCGCAGCGAGAGGCACTGTAGGCTATAGAATGCACCGGGATCCACCAGTACGCACCAGAATTCATCAGTGTGCGCCAAAATTTGCCTGAACATCCCTCATTAGTGCGCGTGGTGGGCAAAAGATCCTCTTCGATGCTCTCTCCCGCCGTCCGCCGATTTGTGCTGGCCCTAATGTGTCACGTTTTCTCATGATAATGATGTCATAGAAGCTTCCAGCAACAAATATCGTTGACAATTATCATAACATTGACCTGAGCCGTGACAAATCTGTGTCCAATCTAATTTAAGTTTGACGAACAATAATGCGTCTGATACATTGTTGTCCCGGACGTTAACGCTAGTCGGCCATTCACAGTATTTTGAAGGTCAATTTTATATACTCACTTTTTACCAGGAAAGTACATAAGTATACTGAATTAGCATGTTGCTAAAAAAAAACAACCAGCACATGGTAGTTTCCTCATGATGCTTCCTTTAGTGTGAAAGGAAGTAACAATATTTTATATGGTCAACACATCCCGCTAATAAAACGTGATACTCGCGGCCAGAGATGGGAAAGCGCCTAGGTTTTAACCCGATGCTTTGTTAACGCCGGGTTTAAATCGGGTCAAAACCCACTAATGCCCGAAATCGTGGTAAAAATCTACCACGTTCAGTTTACGCACATATATCAGTGTATGCACGTAAAGTTTTTTATACAAAAATAACTACACATTTGACCTCCATCTGACGGAAAGTAACTATGAGGTCGACGATCTAGTATGCATACCTAAGTAATGCATATTCACTCTTGCCTTGAAAAGGCCCAAGTTATAGCGCTCGGGAAATAAGTCTACAGCACAGACATATATCTAGATAGACGCCGCAAGTGTACGTACTTCGCGTGCCCAAAGTAAGTGTAATTGATTCAAATAATCATTTCATTATCATCATCATCATTAAGCCATACGATGGCCACTGCTGGGCATAGACCTCCCCCAACGATGTCCACGACGATCGGTCATGCACTGCCCGCATCCACCGGCTTCCCGCGACCTTTACCAGATTGTCGGTCCACCTGGTGGGAAGCCTACCCACTGAACATCGTCCGGTGCGCGATCGCCATTGAAGAAACTTTCCGCCAACGGCCATTGGTTCTCCTAGCTATGTGCCCCGCCCGCTGCCACTTCAGCTGAGCAATTCTTCGAGCTATGTCGGTTACCTTAGTTCTCCTACGGATTTCCTCATTTCTGATTCTATCACGTAGGGAAATACCGAGCATCGCATTCGATATCTGCCTATTTAGCCGCCTCTAGTGACTTGCATCCTCTGAGTTCTGTAGCCTCATTTCACGTCTCTGTTCCATGAGTTGGAGTGTTTTGTTGGAGAATTTCTTCGTTCTGGTACAGTGGGTTTTGAAAAACTTAAACCCAACCTTACGGATAGTATCCACCACCAAGTTGTTTAGATCGTCCACATCTATGCTGTTTTCGAGGGCTTCGAAGCAGTTCTGAAGTTCGAGTTGAA